ATATTTACATACTAACTCGGTATTTTTTTGAGTTTGGTAACCTCAAATAAGTTTGAGAAAATCCACAATCTCAAACATATTCTATTTATATTAAAGACACTTACATTCAATGTAAATGTTATGCAAAAATGTCATGCAGATTAAGTTTCGTAAGATAAAATATATTTATTTATATGGGAGATATACCATTTGATCTTTGTTGTTTCTAATTTTTCCTGTATATTACAAAAAATTATAATTTTTTATTTTTAAATATTCTTATCCCGCGGGACAAAAATCTAGTGTTAATTAATGTACAATAAAACGAATGGTTTTAAAATAATTGAAACTTTTCATAATGAGAATGGATGGATATATACACACACGTTGATGAAAAAAAGAAATTCATTCCAAAATCATTGAATAATGAAAATTAATTTATGGATATTTGCTACAAATGTTTAATCTTCTAACTTAAATAATTATTTACTATAAACACCAAATTTATATAATATTAAATACACAATTAATAACTAAAAATTATTAAGTTAATTTTTCACATGTTAATTTTTAAAGGGGCAATTATAAAAATATCACTTTTAGTATGTACATTTGCAAAAATGCCATTTAGAGGTGTCTATTTGAAAAAATACCACTAAATATAGATTTTTAAAACCTAAATTTTAAAATTATAAACCCTAAAAAATGTTTTGACCCCGAAAACCCTTTAAACCCTCAAAACTAAACCTTAATACAACATAGTTAACCCAAATATAAATGATATAATAATTATTTTTTTGCTGAAAAAGTGACATTTTTGCAAATATTTTGAAAATGTGGTATTTTTGAAAAGTGGCACTTGAAAAGTGATATTTTTTGAAATTTTTCGTTTTTAAATCCCACGCAACTCGTGTGGAATCCCTAGTTAGTAGTATATTATCAGAAATCTGTAAAATGAAATGATTAGTGAAATATTTATCTATAAAATAGTACTTCATCAATTTTTCTCTTATAATTTTATATTAGAAATTAAGAAGGAAACAATAGTGGTAGAGCAATCCACCATTATGTTAATTAATGTGCAAACAAAAGAATGGTTTTAAAATAATTGAAAATTTTCATAATGAGAATGGATGGATATACATACACGTTGATGAAAAAAAGAAATTCAATCCAAAATGATTGAATAATGAAAATTAAGTTATGTCAAGGGCTCAG